ACGCAATTAGTCAGTGGAACTTTTTTCTTAGTTATATAATGACAGTTACAGAGTCCCCAAAGGGTCATGGTGGTGATTTTTTCTTTTGCATTACCTCACAATAAGTGTTGTGTTCCTTTACAACAGTTTTTTTCCCATGTACAGTGCCTTGCGAAAGTATTCGGCCCCCTTGAACTTTGCGACCTTTTGCCACATTTCAGGCTTCAAACATAAAGATATAAAACTGTAATTTTTTGTGAAGAATCAACAACAAGTGGGACACAATCATGAAGTGGAACGAAATTTATTGGATATTTCAAACGTTTTTAACAAATAAAAAACTGAAACAGAGGCAATTCAAAGTGCTTCACATAGGCAAAGAAAAACAGTAACAGCATTAAATATTATAAGCATTAAAACCAGATCACTGCTTACTAAGGATGTCAGGGCCCTGCTGGGTTTGGATTCTGTAGGTAACTGGGAGCCAGTGTAAAGATTTAAGAACAGGAGTGATTTGCTCAATTCTCCTGGTTCTGGTTCAAACTCTCTGAACGAGCTGAAGTTGTCTAACAGTCTTTTGGGGAAGGCTAGACAAAAGACCATTACAACAGTCCAGCCTGTTGGAGACGATAGCATCAGTGAGTTTCTCAGGACATGAGACCTCAGAGTTGTACTATTTGTTCGAGATGATGAAAAGCTGATTTAGTTGTGGCCTTGATGTGACTGGTGAAGTTCAGGTCTGAGTCAATTATGACACCAAGATTTGTAACTTGAGTTTTTGTCTTCATAGTTCTACAATCAAGCTGATCAATAACTTCGGTCCTTTCGTTCTTGCTACCAAAAGCAATAACTTCAGTCTTGTCTGTAACTGAAGGAAATTTGATTGCATCCAGGTATTTACAGTGCCTTGCGAAAGTATTCGGCCCCCTTGAACTTTGCGCCCTTTTGCCACCTTTCAGGCTTCAAACATAAAGATATAAAACTGTAATTTTTTTGTGAAGAATCAACAACAAGTGGGACACAATCATGAAGTGGAACGAAATTTATTGGATATTTCAAACTTTTTTAACAAATAAAAAACTGAAAAATTGGGCGTGCAAAATTATTCAGCCCCTTTACTTTCAGTGCAGCAAACTCTCTCCAGAAGTTCAGTGAGGATCTCTGAATGATCCAATGTTGACCTAAATGACTAATAAATACAAATAAACATATCCAGGTGTTAGAATGGCCAAGTCAAAGTCCAGACCTGAATCCAATCGAGAATCTGTGGAAAGAACTGACAACTGCTGTTCACAAACGCTCTCCATCCAATCTCACTGAGCTCGAGCTGTTTTGCAAGGAGGCATGGGCAAAAATTTCAGTCTCTCGATGTGCAAAACTGATAGAGACATACCCCAAGCGACTTACAGCTGTAATCGCAGCAAAAGGTGGCGCTACCAAGTATTAACTTAAGGGGGCTGAATAATTTTGCATGCCCAATTTTTCAGTTTTTTTATTTGTTAAAAAAGTTTGAAATATCCAATAAATTTTGTTCCACTTCATGATTGTGTCCCACTTGTTGTTGATTCTTCACAAAAAATTACAGTTTTATATCTTTATGTTTGAAGCCTGAAATGTGGCAAAAGGTCACAAAGTTCAAGGGGGCCGAATACTTTCGCAAGGCACTGTATTCTGCCATTTTATCCCAGAACTGACCTGGTGTTGCACACCCTGCATTGACAGTATATCTGAAGTATATGATGAAAAAATGACATCTTAGTGGTTGGAATATGTACTGATAAGTATGTCATAGCATGACTTGTAAAATCAGTATTTATGTTCCTGGTGGTCTTTTATTGTTGATAATGTACTGTAGCATATTGCAGTTTATTAGTACCTATGGCTTGTCACATTAATCTGATGAGAACTTTTCAGTTTTATTTCTAGACCATCTTTTAATTTGTACAACTTTGAGATCATTTTCTAGATTATAATAAAATTGAGATACGTCAAGATATATTGAAAATATGAAACCAGGACTTGGAGTCCACTATGTTCAGGCCTATGTTATCTGTGTATACTGTCATCTGCTAGTAAATGCAGTTCTTATGGTGCAAAGGCTAACTACAAATAAGCAAGAATAATGTCTCTCAAATATAGGGCTGCATTCCAATAGCCGGTGCCATTCTGGTTCCAAGTTGGTGAAACATCTGAGTTTGTAAAGCTTCATGCCCAAACGAATCCCTTATCAAACCTGTCATTCCTGTTCTGTGTTTAATTTACCTCTCTGATAATACAGACATTGCCAAAGAGAAAAAAAGACATTTACAAACTAGTGATAACTTTGTGTCACAGTTTTAATACATGTTATTCTATGTATTATGTGTTATGTATCAATAAAGTAAAAAAAAGCTGTTGTAAACAAACAAAGTGGATTAATAACATAAAAAATAACCATTCTTATACTGAGCTGTAATATTATATCAGTGTTCTCAATTCCAAGTTTCAAGTGTAATTCAGTGAGCTGATCTATAGCTACTGTGGCTTTGCACTGGGCAAAGCAGATCAGAAAAGTGCAAAAAAGTATTTTGAGGGAACATAAATCTTATTGCGAGATTATGCAAAAGAAAAACAAAATTGCCAGAATGACCCTTAGGGGGCTCTGTAGATTGACCTATATAATTTCTGGCTGTAACAATATTCCTGTATTCAAATCACATTCAATTCTATTTGTCAGTTTAGTGTGTTAGCATTAGCATTCAGACTCACTTTGGTGACAGGGCCACAATGGGCCTGGTACGTGATCCATTCCTTCTGGATGGGTAAAGGGTATTTAATGGCCCTGATAGTTCCACTGGAGGTTCCGGTGAAGATGACCCTACCACAGTGAGACACTGCAATGGCTGTGTCAGGAACCTCCCTCAGGACCTGTGGAACCAATGGTCAGGATACAGAAAATATAAACGTGCATATCTGTGATAAAAAATACTTCACTGACAACAATACAGACTTCTGGAAGGACAAATGGAATATATATTTTATATTTAGGGCAGAGGATGTGCAAAAAATATTCATATTCATAATGCTTTGTTGGATACACTATTTCCAAACAAAGGCTATGTTTTTTAGATGTTTGAAAAACATCTGACTACTGTATACAATGTACACTACCAGTCCTGCATCAAACAACAGTCCAAGTTAGATGCTACCTGATAAACATAGTTGAGCATTTAGCAGCTAAACAGCCAGACAGTTTTTCCGGAGCTCAAAACAGAGTTGTCTCCAAGCGTCCCCCAAAAATACTACATGTACATGCAGGTTTAATCCTGTCTTCAAAAGCAGTGGCAGTGATAATGCTTACACTGTGAGCGGATTTAAATCTTTTTCTTGCTTGAGACATGTAGTGACAATTGTATGGAAACACCCTTGCCACAACAGACATTTAGTAAAAACTGTTGTCATATGATTCTTAAAACATCCAACACAAACACCAGATTAAGCTCATGTTGCTATTCCACTCATTAGACTGTATAGAAACACAGTAGAAAACATTCAGTTGT